TTTGCTGCCTATGGTTTTCATAGAATCAATATGAAGCAGGCCATGGGGTCAGATAAGATAAACTTTGGACACTACACTCCCTATTCGTCATACTTTATTCTTATTTGGAGTAATGCTGTTCTCTCTCTTAAGTACACCCATTTCCCAAAACCATACACAATGCCATCCCAAAACTCTGCAATATTTTTTCTCTCCTGCATCATCCAATACAGGAGATTACAAGAGAAGCCTATTGGAGCTCTAGCTCATGTCTCTCATACAACTTCAGAAGATGAGGGGAAGGTGCAAACAGAGAATATAAGGAGCAGATAGTCCAAGGTTTAACACTACCTTGGTTCTGTGTTCACAACAAATATGGAATATTACCCAAATATAAAGATTACTTTTTCCTCATTTAAACACACAAAATCAATTCTTTCCTCTTGTTAATTATGTTATCCTAAAAATTCAGTCTTCTTATGGGGACAATAAAGGAAGTTTTAATTAAGGATGCATTTCATAGAATGTTAATGTTTTAGTTTAGATCTAAAGATATTCCTTCAAAATCTTGTGTTTTGAAAGCACCATCTCCAATGAAGCAATGCGGTTCAGAGGTGGAGTTTTTAGGCAATTATAAGACCTATATAACCTCATGGGTGGATTAATCAATTTGATAGATCAATAATTTGAATGGACTACAGGGTGATCAATGTATGTAGAATGGATGTGACTAGAGTAAGAAGGTCACTGGGGCATGACTTTGGGGATTATATCTTGTTCCTGGCTCTGCTCTCTCTCCACTTCTCTGCTGCCAAGATCTGAGCTTTCCTCCACCAGGCCCTTCTGCCCTGATGTTCTGCTCCACTTCAGGCCAAAGCAATGGTCTTGGTCCACCACTAACGAGACTTCGGAAACCATGAACCCAAATAAGTTTTTCTTCTTTGAAAATTTTCTTGTCATGTATTTTGGTTACAGAGATAAAAAGCTGAGTGTTAATCCATAGCTAAATTACTTAACCCAGATAAAACAATCCTATAAATGAAAGGTGAAGTATTTAGATTCCATTTACAAAAGAGAAAAACCAACATGAATGTGGTAGTTAATGCTCCCATGAGGTTATTATTCCATGTTTCTTATGAGGTACAGGTGCTTTAATTGCTCTAAGTTTTAATGTTATATTCAGAGAGGCTAAAGATTTACACAAGGCCATGATGAAAAGAGAAAGAGAAAACTGTATTAACTTCCAGTTGCCTTCTTTGTCTTTGAGTAGCTCTGCCTCTTATCTCTGTGTTCTGACTTTAGGTAGAACATAAATAACACCCTGTTGATATTATCTATAATTAAAAATTTAGTGAACACTTACTATATTCAAAGTGCTTTGAGGAATGAAAAGAACTATAATTAATTCAAAATAACAAAATTTATTTAATTTTTTTTCTTTTGTGTGGGTAGTGAGAAATCATTTTTCCTCACTGAGGAATATTAATAGAGACAAGCCTAATTTTCAAGTATGAATGTACTGTATTGTAGGAACATAAATTCTTGATTTCCATTGTCACAGTCAAGTTTAAAGGCAATTCTAACCACAGCTGGATCTCCCCTTGTTCCTACCCACCCTATGCCACACCCAGTCTGTGGGCTTCAGAGAGAGATTATCTCAACTCTGCCTCATTTTTTTTTTTCCTTCAGTATTGGGGGCTGAATCCAGGAGGGTTCTACAGCTAGGCTATATCCATGGTCCTTTTATTTTTTATTTTTATTAAAAAAAAAAAAAACAGAAATTGAACTCAGGGGCTCTTAACCAGTGAGCTATAGCCCAAGCCTCTTTTATTTTATATTTTAAGACAGGATCTGCTAAATTGCTCAGGGCCTCCCTACATTGCTGATGTGATCCTCTTATCTCAACCTCCTGAGCTGCATAGGACTACAGGCAAGCACCACTGTGCCCAGCTATTTTTAATTTTGAGACAGAGTCTCACTAAGTTATTCAGTTTGGCCACAAACTTGTCATCCTCCTTCTCAACTTCCTGTTGGGATTATAGGGTATGCCATTGTGCTCTGCTTCAGCTGCTTCTTAAGAGTGAACTCAGAGTTTCAGATCATCTATCTACAAAATTTACATAAAATTTAACTTACCCACTTGTTATTATTAAATGACATGTTAGTTCTTAACCAACCATAAAATGTCATACAAGGGTGTGAAATTTTGCTGTTATAAGAAGCACGAATGACCCCAAATAATTTGTTCTTTGGTCTGCTAATGGGACCTAAAATATTTTTTACCTCTTTAATTTAATGCACTGGGTCTTGAGGAGGTTCCTGTTGAAGTATGAAATGTCATATTAAACAATACATTGAATAATTGACATCATAATCTATCAAGGTACCTGGATGTGATGTGTCATAGTGGAAAGCATATGTTATTGTCAATAATAAAATGAAACAATAAAAAGCAATAAAAAAGACAGTAGAATGAATCAGACATAACTTTGCTATGTTCTTATATGAATACATCACCTGTGAAACTCCATATCATGTACTACCAAAAGAATGGGATTCTAATTAGAACAAGTTATACTCCATGTATGTATAATATGTCAAAATACACTCTACTATCAGGTACATCTAAAAAGAACAAATTTTAGAAAAAGACAAAGCTACTGATGCATGCAACATCATAAATGAATTTAACCAATATGCGGAATGAAAAAAAACATCCAAGAGGTACAAAACAAAGGTCATAGTATGAGATTTTGTTTTTATGGTATATGTACACCTAGAAGAGGCATAACTTGGAAGGGTACAAAGCAACTTTCTGGGCTAATAAAAATGTTCTATGTCTCCAAAGTGAGATGTTACACTAACTCATGGATTTTTCAAAACTGATATAAATGCACTTAAAAATGAACGTTTCACTATATAAGTTGTATTTTCATTTAAAATATCATCTAATGTTTTTGTTATTTTAAATTGTTGCATTTTATTAACGTAGGCTGAATTATTCACAGTTGAAAATATATACGTAGTTTAGAATTTGCTAAAAAGAAGAGGGGTTGATAGTGATAAAGTGGATAGACATATAGATGGGATAAGATCAACCATGTACTGAAAAATTTCGCAGTTGAGTCATATTCATATGGGAGTCCTTTATTCTCTCTACCTTAGTATGGGTTTGAATATTTTCCGTAGTAAAAAGTTGGAAAGAGAGGAATTATCTAAGTTCATGTCTTCATTTACAAAAGGGGAAACTGGAGATAGGAAAGCATAATTTCTCAAAGCCAGGCAGTCAATCAGTTTCCAAGTCCAGCCTTCTTTCTCTGATCCCAAGGAAGCAAAATACAAACTACTGCATTACAAAGGCTACTTTTTTAAAAAAAGGTATACTAAGAGTGAAGGAGTTCAAGCAATAAATCTCTTTCTTTTACAAACATATATGTATGTGTGTGTATGTACTTTTCTATATGTTTAATACATAATTATTTAATTCTTTTCCCTCCTGGTTTCAAAAGGTTGTATTTGGTCTAAGGATATCTAAAATGTCTTTACTTAAATTTTAAATAAAACTTAAACTTCATTTTACACAACATTTAGAACCTAAATGAGTATGAGAGTCAGAGAAAACATTTTTTCCTATAAAATAAAAACAAAACAAAAATTTAAAATGCAGCAAAAACTTGTTTTTCCTCCTAGTACTGTTCAGAATCCAGGCAAAGAAAGCAAAGGCTTTCTGCTGGAGGGAGGAGCTTGGTTCTCCATTCCGGTGGGATCCGGGAACAGCTGTTCTCTACTCAGCTCTGAAAGAGGTGAAAATGTATTAACCTATGCAAAGATTGTCTTGAAGCTCGCGCTTTTACGTCTTTTTGTCTGAGTGTGTACGTGTGTGTGCTGGGGACTGGAGAGGGGGCTGTCAGCTCCGAGTGCAACCAGAACCAGAAGTCAGAAAGGTGAGTGGTGTGCAGAATCTGCCTTTCAAAAATTGGATATGATGTTCCCGGAGGGTAAAACCACACCTGATTTATCTCCTAGACCATGTACTTGGGTCTAGAAATAATGTCCCATTTCGAAGAGAGAATGTCTTATGATCGCTTGTTTTCGACGGCTGGGGAATATTTATTTCTTGCTCTACAGATGGGGAAAAAAAAAAAAAATCAGCGTCTGGCATCCGCTGATTGGTGGAAAAGAAAATGGTGATAGTGGGGTGGGAAGAGGATCTGCCCAGCCTCCTGGACCTGTAACTCTTCCGTAGTCGTCTTCTTTCCATCCGCGGGACCCTTTCGGGCTCTTGCCAGATTAAGAGCAAATGAAAATCTTGGGGATGTTTGAACAAAAGCGACCCTTAAAATTGTGTCTTAGACCATATCGATCTCAATGATGCCAGGAACGTGCTCCTGATGGACTGGTTGTGAGCACCCTTGCCAAAGCCGCCTGACTCCCTCAGCTTCTTCCCAAGAGCTAGGCACTGTTTTTGGTGGTGACTCTGATGCGAGGGTCCCCAAGAGGAACCAAAGGAAAGCCCAAGACAGGGAAGCAGGTGGTGGGGAAGCGGGGGAGACTGGAGCCCAAGCGTAATTGTACCCGATAACCCCTAGAGCCCCCGTGACCCTGAACTCGAGGTGAAGCGCGGAGCAGTCCACCTATGCGCCGCCCGGACCTTAAGGGGGGGCTGCAGTTGGAGGTGCAACCTGCTCCCCCACCCCCATCCCCATCTCCATCCAAGAAAAGGAGCGAAGCGCACGCGGCAGCGAAAGCAGCGAGCGCGGGGAGAGGGGCGGGGAGAGGCGCTGACAAATCAGCTGTGGAGGCGGTGAGCCGCGGGGAAGGAGGAGGAAGAGGACTGGGGGAGGTAGACCGAGACCACGAGAAGGGGGCCGGAGCTAGGGGGCTAGCGACCCAGCGCGGCGACGTGGAGTGAGGTGCGTGCTGGCTTTAGAGAGCCCTGGGGGACCCAGCCCCGCCTTTTCCATCCTCTGCTCTCTCTGCCGCCTTCCCTTTCGACCCTCTGTATCTTTTTCTCTGATCCTCCTGTGTGGGGGGACGGGGAGTGGCAATTCGACGACAGGTTCGCGGGTTTGCCTCCCACGCCCCCACTCCCTGTGTAGTCCCTGTGTTGTGCTGACAGCAGCCTCCACTGAAGACCATCCTCTCTCCTGGTGCCGCCTCCGCCCTTCCTACGGGCTCCTTTTCCTTCCTCTACCTATTTAAATAACATTTGGAAATTGTTTCGATTTAAAAAGAAAAAAAAAAAGGAGGAGGAATTGGAGTTCTGGAGACGCAGAGGGACACAGGTGAGTACCTGTAGATATAACCCCCCAGCTTTGGAAATCCTGGGGCGGCGGGGGGCGGGGGGACTGGTAGTAGGGGAGTCACCGTGGACTCCTGGGAGGTGGTTTGGTGCAGCGTTGGCGACCAGCTGCGTCGGGTCTTTGGGTACTTGTGGGTTAGTGAGCTTGAGGAAAGTAAATTGACCCGGGTTTCCTCCTGCTTCCTACACTCCCAGCTTCTCCTTCCCAGAGGTTGAGGGGTCAGGTTGCTCCTCCGGAATATGCTTTTGCTTGCGGAAACGCTAGAATGATGGATGCGTGAACATTCAACTTTTATTGCTCTTATCACATCCCGCTCCCCCTCCCGCAGCCCGCTTACTCAGTTTTCTCTGGAAAGTGAGGAAGCTGCGTTTGGTAAATAATTAAATGGAAGTGCAGCGAAGACAAGTCAACAGGTGGTGAGGGGTTAACAAGTGCGAGGCTCAAGGTCAGATACCACGTTCTAGCTGAGAAGATGCTCTCTGGGTTGGTGGCACTAGACTGGAGTCTGCCCTTAGGATGGAGAGGACCTGTTCTGAGTAGATAGCCCAGGGCGGATGGTCTGCAGGATTAAAACCAGCGTTTTTGGGTTAGCTGTTAACATAAGGTTCAGCCACATCTGGAGTGGGTAGTTAGTTCTCTTCCCTCCCTCTCCTGGATCAACCTATAAGCCCTTGCTTGGATTCATTTTAAGGATTCCCCTGACCCCAAGCCTCCAGCTCCCTTTCTTCTAAGCATGCTTCTAACTTTACTATTACCTTTTGGACCCTGGGAAGTTGAAAGAGAGGGTCTATCTTTTCAAGCAACTCCACTTCTGAAATGCAGGAAGAACAACTCAGATAATTCATCCTAATCTATGTTTAGGTGACTAGACTTTTACTAGCCAATGTGGATGGGAGATGCTAATTTTTTAATACAAAAGCTAAAAAGACTGGTCTGTCCCATGGGTGAAATGGGGGTACTTTAAAGTCTCTCAGTCTTGAGGATTTCTACTGTTGTTCTTTAGTGTTTTTTTTTTGTTGTTGTTGTTTGTTTGTTTGTTTTTTTAATCTTGGATGTTTTACTCTTGGTTGTTTTTGTCCAGATGTTCTCATTGGAAGTGTATTTTGTGTTCTCCAGGGTAGTGTGAAGGAAATCTTTAGCCATGGATGTATTCATGAAAGGACTTTCAAAGGCCAAGGAGGGAGTTGTGGCAGCTGCTGAAAAAACCAAACAGGGTGTGGCAGAAGCAGCAGGAAAGACAAAAGAGGGTGTTCTCTATGTAGGTATGTAAACCCCAAATGTCATTTCATCTCTATTCATGACTGAAGGCTCAGAATGATTGATACTCTAAATGCTGGTGCTTCTTGCTTGATTCATTTTCGCGTGATCACTTCTCAAGAGGATGGTATGAGTCATAGCTGTCCATAGGTAGGTGAATGCAAATGGGTGTGTTTTAGCAAATAGTAAAAGATAAGGCTAATGTTTTGTATTTCCAGAATCATTTTGCTAGAAAACTAGGATTTTTATTTCTTCCTGAATGAAGATGAACAATTAAGGTAGAGGATGAGCATATGGGGTGGTATAGAAGGCATGGATGCTACTTCTAGGTTTATGGAATTAAAGAAAGCATGGTGTCAATCCACGGTAAGCGAGCAAACATTTATAGCCTGAAACCATTTTATGAATGCTTCTCATCAAAGTTTATAGCAGATCACTTTTACTTATTCTTCAAAGACTCTTTTTTTTAATTGACTGAAACTCTCCACAATTTTTTTCTTAAAATATACTTTCTTTACCTTAAGATATTTTCAGAAAATCTTAAAATGAGTGTGAACAAGAGGGAAAAGATTGATAAGTTAATTTCAGCTTATTTTTTGTGAAGTGTAATTATGTATTTTAAATGAAATTTGAAGTACAGAATTAGTGACATCCATGTAATTGCTATCTTTCTCTCTATCCTCAGTTTTTAGATGTTTTGCAATTTCAGGCTTGCAACTATTCTTTAATATCAATTACTCAGTAACTTTGTTCTCTAATGTTATTTTTTTTAGAATGCTAAGACTTACTCCCTTAGTTTGTAATAAACACAGAAACTATTGCATATTGATGTAATGTATTGCTTTTTTTCAGATAATGAATAGATCTTGTCATTTAGAACACTTATGTGTTTTCATTATTAACTATGAGTTCGGGAAAATAAAATGTTTTTATTTTTCAGAGATTAATTCTCTTATTTGCTGTTAAGTGATTGTATAATATTGTAATATGTTAATGTGTTCAATGCTATTGTAATATCTAACACATAGTATATCTTACAAATTATTTATTGGTTATGTTCTGAAATCCAATTAAAAGTTGAACATGTATATAGGACTTAGGATGAAAAATGACCAACTGAAAACATGAGAACATGGTCCAGGTTTTGGTGAATATTTCTGGTAACAGATCATATAGTAATTATTTTGGCCTTAAGATCCCAGTCTTAACTACTCAACTTTGCTATTGAAGTGAAAGCAACCATAGATGATAATTAAGTATGTCTGTGTTTCAAAAAAAAACTTTACCTAAGAGGATAGTAGACTGAAATTGACCATTGGCCCATAGTTGGACTACTCATAAAGTGGAGAGAACACAGACTTGATGTGTTATCTGTGTAAGTTTTATATCACTTCTTACCTTTAGTGTCTTGGTGAAGGTACTTAATTTTTCTGAGTATTACTTCCCTCATTTGTAAAAATATGATCTAGAAAAACACAACTACCTTGTGGAATCTTTGTGAGAATGGCATAATAAAACAGAACATATGAGTAATTGAGCACATTCTCAGTTATAAGAACTATGGTTATTACAATCAGATCAATTTTCCAAGAGAGCAATTACTTTGCCAATATGATTTATTCTTATCTTTTCATCCTTTGTTACAAAAATCATTGCTAATAACAAGTTTGAAAGACTAGAAGTGATCAAAGAAAAATGTATAATTTCACTTTTGTCTGAAGAAGTTTGGAAGAAGCCTCAATAGTAATCTCATTCCTTTTTTAAAATACATATTTGAAAACTACCTTTTACATGATTGAAGAACTATCATAACAATCAGTGTTATTTTTATGTATTTTTTCCTCCATTGGTGAAATCTGTGTACAGAAATTTTCAATCAGCCTACTTCAGTTTAGTAGATACAAATCTCCTCAATCACAGGACTCACAAATTGTAAACTGGGATTCAAAAATCAAAAGCAGAAAACTTTAATTATCTTTATATAATATAAAGGATTGTAAAAATAAATGCAAGAAAATGATGATCTTCACAATTCTTCTAGCTTCCTGCTCAACCAGCAATGTAGTCACCGGTGTGACTGATCTCAAATGCTCAAGTCACAGTATGCTTTCACCTCACAGGTTGAGAAAGTCAACACAGCATGTGCAAAAAATGTACAGTGGAGCTCTTGCAAATCCCAGGTGTTACTTGTGATCTTGTCTACCCTGCACCCCTGTGAGGTGGTGAGAGAGGTGAGATAGGGAAGGAGTGGGCTACCTTAGCTCAAAGAGGTCATCAGCTCTGCTAGCCCTTCAGCTTTGATATCTTGCTTCACATAGCCCCTTGGTACTTATTTTGTAGTATGTTTTATCAGTTAGAGATTGTCATGAGTTAAGGGTTAATAATCAATTAAATTAAATTACCAATGAACAATTATGACAGCAAAGAACAGATCATTGGCTTGGGGTGTGTGTGTGTGTGTGTGTATAAACTTCATAGGGATTCTTGTCTTTGATTCTAGGTGCATTCCACAATTTAACCAAGGGTCAAATTCTCAGGTACTGCCGAGGCAGAGAGGGAAAACCAGATCAGCCATTAAACTTTTCCACAAGTATTTATTTACTTTTTAAAATGTGGAGTGCAGGGTGTGAGGGTGAGGGATAGAGATGAGAGACATTCTTTTAAATACGAGGTGTTCTTATTGTGCATTGCCCAGTATACACAGATTACAGTTAACACAAAGTCACACCTGTCCCCTAACAGCGCAATTTAAATTTCTATTATCACAGTGCATAAATTGAGAGTAACTGCACAAGGCATAAACTTTACTGCTAGCTCTTCAGTCCCCATATCATTACATAAATAACAGAATTGCATTATACTCAACAACTAAACTACATCACCTTTAAAGTTTGTCAGTGATTTGTCACTTTGCATTTGTCATGCTGTTCATGCAGAAGCAACACCTGTAGTTGTATAGCCTCCTTGTCTTCTAGTGATCAATCCATGTGATATTTCACAGAAGTGCACAATAGGCACAGCAAAGAGGCCCACAAAGATGAAACAAATATGTGAAGCAGAAAATGCTGGAAGTAAAATTTGAATCAAACACATGTTGATTTATTGAAGAAATAGCTGATCACAGGAATATGGTTACTAGTATAGTTCAGAGACTCTAGGTATGCTGTCAAGAAGACTCTGTGAAAGTAAAGTATATCAACATTAGGGAGGAGGGGCTGGATTGGTTGGAGTGTTATCAGAGAAAGTAATGTCACAAAACACTTTAACTTTAAGAAACTATCAGGGAGATATTATCATATCAAAAGTGCAAAGGATAACATTGTGGAAATTGATCTAAACTTAGAAAGACTATGATGGTTCTTTAAAACATAAAAAGATGGGGCTGTGGATGTGGCTCAAGCGGTAGCGCACTCACCTGGCATGCGTGCAGCCCAGGTGCGGCCCAGGTGCAGCCCAGGTTAGATCCTCAGCACCACATACAAACAAAGATGTTGTGTCCGCCGAAAACTAAAAAATAAATATTAAAAAATTCTCTCTCTCTCTCTCTCTTAAAAAAAAACAAAACATAAAAAGGTGCCCAAATAGAAAGTTATGCAATGATAAAGCAAACACTGTTTTAAACTTATTTTTTTAAAAACTGGGAATTGAACCTGGGGGTATTTTATCACTGAATTACATCTCTGGCCTTTTTTATTTTTTATTTATGAGACAGGGTCTTGCTAAGTTATTTAAGGCCTCACTAAATTGCTGAGGCTGGTCTCAAACTTGTGATCCTTCTGCCCCAGCCTCTGTAGTTGCTGGGATTATAGGAATGTGCCAACATGCCCAACTTAAACTACTTTTGATAAAATTTTTATGAAGCAATAAAACACTTTCATTGTTAATATTTTGAATTATAGTATACTAAATAAATAGCATTTTGAGAGTAAGTTAAATTGATTTTAACATTTTTCATTTCTTTATGTATTTATAAATAAGATTGAATTATCTTATTTCAACAATAAAGGTCATAAGACAATTAGGTTTTTCTACTGACTACTTGTAATTTTCCACTCATTAATTATTAAGATAACTTACACAGCTTTGGCTCAGTGCATCTCACAATGTCACAATACCATTTAAAAATGAACCTTGTCTGGAATGTTGTATTATATATAATGCTATAATATATACTTTGACATATTTAACAACCGTACATCTTCATTTTTATGACATTTACAATTTGGTGCTTTGTCCTCTGCTTTAAACTGCAAATCCCTTTGCAAACATTATTTATGAAGAATAATAGTTATCACTTACTAAGTATTTGCTATATACTAAACATGCCTTAAGAACATCATATGAATTATTTCCTTTTATCATCTTGTAGACCAGTAATGTGTATTTGCCTATTTTGAGGTGATATGAGTATTCAAACCCAGACATTCTGAATCCAAAGACTACATGCTTAACTATAAAGCTTTAGTTTATGTTTTATTTGTGTTGGAGAGGGGTCTTTACATTGATATTGAAAATTCTTATGTATACTTATTTTATTAAATCTGGAAAGTTCCATTGGCTATTTTTATATCTTATAAAATAGCCAAGGTTCAATAGGTTCAGATATGATGCATGCACAGTTCACTTAATGCCATTTTTATATGTTCAAACATATTCAATAAATATTTTCAGTATGATCTTATGTATTTATTTAGATCATCTTATCAATCATATTATTAGATCATGAAAATCTTCTAAATTTTAAATAAATTTGGATCTAGAAACAACCTCAGATAAACATTTTTCAAAGTTTGATTCATGAATTATGAGCAAGAGATTATGAAGATTATTAAAAATTTAAATATCTGTACAATGTATTTTCTTACCATTTGGACTCTGACTTGATGGTCAGCATTTTAAAACCAGCACAACCACTAAGTAATCATATTCTGTCCCCATGGTTTTAAAAACCTTTTTATTTTGAGAATAGTTGATTAATTTATTTATTAAATTTGCTGAAAAGGAAACTGAGGCTCCCTTACAATTTTCTGGTTTGTTTTAAAAAGCATTGCTAGTTATTTAGTTATTTCTTGTATGCTCAGGAAGGGTTTTACAAAATTTAGTGCATTTTTAAATGAAGCTTAATAATTATCTTAATGTTCACATATGAGTTTAAATCCTTTTCAGCTTTTATGTCCTCATTTCCTTATTTTCTAGGTCTTGATAGAGCGACATTATTTGAGGTTTAGAATAGCTTTTAAATGAATCTCAATCTATTTGCTATTTTCTTTTAGTCCAAAAAAAAAAAAACCTTTTAGTCCCAAAAAAATGGTGTCAACTATACTGAAAATTCAACCTCAGAGAGGTTATGAATGAAATAATTAAGAAACATAGTTTGAATAATGCATGTAATAACTATTTGTTTGTAAATTTAGTAATGGTCAAGGTTTGAAGGAAATTCTTATCTAACATAGGAACAAAGGTTGAATGTGCTTGTAGCTTGTTAGTACGTAACACTGGGCAAAGCACTGTGGTTTTTTAATTTCCTCAGGTATGAAATGGGAAAAATGCACTTCTATTACATGAATATCATAAAGATTAAATGAGATTTAATAAGCCTTTTACATAATAGCTGCTAGACAAATGTTACCACCTTCTTTTGCCTTCCATCTGTGTTTCTGGGATATCTCATCTATTGGGCTGTGCTTTTGTGACTTCAACAGTTCTGAATCTAAAATCTTTTTCTCACTAACTCCAGTGTTATCTCACTTTTTGTCTTTCTGTATGTGGAACTGTGAAGTGGGAAGCAAGGGAATAAAAGGTCATTTCATGCCCAAGTCTTTTCTTTCATTTTTAAAATTAAGTGTATTTTATTAACTGATATAGAAAAACACAAAATTGTTTATATTAATAGAGTACCATGTGATGTTTTGATATATATATATATATATATATATATATATATATATATATATATATAGTAATCAACTTAAACATATCCATCTCAAACATTTATTATTTCTTTATGGTGAAAACGTCCAAAAATCTCTTCCTCTGGCTTTTTGAGATATATAGCGCACAGTTGCTCTCTGTAATCATTGTGGAGGATGACCCCAGAACTTCCTACTGCTGTATAACTGCAACTTAGGGTCCACTGATCAACCTCTCCCTACCTCACCTCCCTCCTGTTAGCTTTGTTTTCTTCTATCTGTGGTAGTGATTACTCAATCTCCTCCAGTTTCCTTTTGTTTTTATTTTTGGTATCCTCAAAAATATCTTGACACATGGACTTCTGAAGATTGAGATTTTTAAATTTGGTTGTAATTAAAATAGGCTAACTAGTCATCTAAAGATGGTTTGAGACTTATGTTTTGAATTCATTTGTTTTATAGGTTCCAAAACCAAGGAGGGAGTGGTTCATGGTGTGACAACAGGTAAGCTCTCAGAGGCTTATATCCAGGGATAACATTCAAAATATTGGGTAACCAATAGGGCATTAGAATTGATTATTTAGAATGTAATTGTAAACAACTGCTGTGCCTATAGAGGAGCATTCTAAGGGAGTATTAGCCTAATTTAAACTTACTTATTTATGAATGTTTTAATTATATATATTCATGAAAAACAAGAAAGACATATATTTAATTGCCAAGAATTGCTAAGACTTTGCATTGACCTGCTCTGTTTAGTCTATGGTCATTGGGCATTCAGGTATTCCAACCAAAAATCAGCAAACTGCTAGCATTAACAAAATGTGAAGGTTATTATTTGTCAAAATATTAACATAAAATTTTAAGTCCAATAAAATATTCTGGCCATAAATTATGCTGATTATAGTATTTCTTTTATGATTCAGAATACATTATAGAAAATGCCCTTGAGGTGATTATAAATTGTTTACTATATTTATCTCTACTTGACCCAATTGTGTCAATAATTTGAATAAGTCTATAAGAAGATTTATAATTAAAAAGTGAAAATGATGGTCATGATGAGCATCAGGAGGATGACGGTAATAATGATAGCAATAGAAAAATCAAAGGTGAATAAAAATTTAACAAATTATCCTATAGACTCACTGCCATTGTTCCATGTTGTGATGACTCCCTTTCCTGACAGGTGTGCTGAGATGAGATACCATCAGAAACATGAATCATATCACCAGAAAGCCTTAAATATAATAGTGCCTCACCAAAATAACATGTTTTGTGTCACTAAATTATAAAATGGAGATGGGGAAAATGAAACAGGAATCTTAAATCAGTTGTTGGTTACGACTTCAAACACTAGAGTCAATCTCTTGGGTTCAAATTTCGGCTTATACACACCAGCTGTGTGATGTTCTGCATGATTCTTAACCTCTGTGTGATTTAATTTACTCATCCGTAAAAGAATTAAGTGAATCGATATACACAAAACATTAGAAAACTGAAAGCAAATAGTATGTACTATACAGGTATCATTTCTTTCTAGTAGACCTTTCTTAAGCAACAATTTTATAGCATGTGAATAAAAGCATCTCATATGTCTTTTTTTGGAGGGGGTGATGGGCTACTGGGGATTGAACCAAGAGGAACTTTACCACTGAGCTACAACTCCAGCCCTTTTTATTTTTTATTTTGAGACAGCATCTCAGTAAGTTGCTTAGGGTTTTTCTAATTTGCTAAGGTTGGCCTCTAAATTTCGATCCTCCTGTTCAGCCTCTCCAGCCACTGGGATTACAGGCGTGGGCCACCACCCCCAGCTCATATGCCTTTTGAATTTATATTTTTTATAAAACTGAAACTACAAAATAAAACAGAACTCTTTATGACAACTGATTCTATTAAAAGCTAATTATGCATCTTTTGTTTAGTCTGTTGTAATTCAATATATAATGCAGAAAACTAGGCAAGTAAAGGCACTGCATTGATTACCTTCCTGGGGCCTTCTGTAAATATTATTAATCTTGATTTTTGTAACAACTGGATAGCAGGCAGGAGGAGGCTATACTATCTGAAGGCAGCCAACCTAGATTAATGGTGTTCCATTATGACAGTTGAGGGTGAATCATGTGGTTTAGAAAGAAGACAGCAAGTCCCAATATTTCCATCTGCTGAAAATCACAGAAGCCTACTAATACTTACTGATTTCTAAAGGAAACTATGAAGATGAGCTACAAGGATTAACTGTTGACAAGTTTGGAAAGTTTTAGTCTTTCCAGAATGTAATTATGAGTGTGTGTGTGTGTGTGTGTGTGTGTGTGTGTGCGAGAGAGAGAGAGAGAGAGAGAGAGAGAGAGGCGCTCAACATTTTATAAAATATTCTCTGAAGTAAAATAGCCCATGAGCTTATGTTTCTATGGTTTTGTAATGTTGTAAATTGTGTAATGTAATCCTTCCTTTACCATGTTAAAGAACAGGAAATGTTCTTTGGTAAAATAAATTTTCATAACATAGTTTAACCCAGGGTTTTTCAACCTTATTTGACTCTTGAAATTTTCTTTCAATAGTTATAGAGTCAAGAGAAACTAGTGTTTCACAGAAAACTATGGGAAAGGCCCTTAGGTAGCAAGGATATGGTGTTTTAGGCTTGGACAATAGTACAGTCACCATACCAGTTATTGACCCTGGAAGTAGCAGAATATAAAAAATGATGTCATAATTACTCTGACTCTGAGAAGGCGTTTCAAGTAAAAGTAGCTGCAATAAGTGCCACTCCTCTTCCACATCAGATAAACACACTAATTAATTTGTTATATTTACTATAAAACCCAAATTCCAGTTATGAGGATAAGTAAGTTTGTGATAATCACTTCAATGTATAAAGAGAGAACTGATTGCTTATTATACTTGGTCTAAAATGTTTATATAGGTACATCATAACTGTTAAATAAATGTTTTTCATTATTGTCTTTATTGAGGAAAGCAAGAAAATATTTTATAGTACGTACATTATCCAATACTGTTAGAAGAACACTTTCCCCAAGATTTAGCTCGTGAGTTGCTTGTGCAGAAATATAGATTTCAGTCAACTTATGCCAGGGGGTTTCTATCAATAAAATCTAAAGGAAGTAAATTCTCTAAGTATATAATTTCAAGGTTAAAAAAAAAGAAAGCTTCACCTTAAATCCTGGCATTTGGGCCTCAGAAAATTATATTTAAGTTGTCAACCAAAGCATAATGTTAAAGGAATATATGAGAATGTCTTAAATTGGACTAACTGAAACACATGTCTTTTATTTAATAGTTGTAGTTGGACACAATACCTTTATTTTATTTACTTATATGTGGTGCTGAGGATTGAACCCAGGGTCTCACATGTGCTAGGCAAGCGCTCTACTGCTGAGCCACAACCACAGCCCATGAAACACATGTCTTTGGAGAGATGCTTTAAAAATAAATTAGGATAGGCCAGGTGCAGTGCCTGTAATCCCAGTGACTTGGGAGGCTGAGACAAGAGTATCGCAAGCTTGAGTCCAGCCAGTCTCAACAGTTTAGGGAGGCCCTAAGCGACTGTCTCATAATGAAAAACATAAAGAGCTAGAATGTAACTCAATGGTAAAACACTCATAGGTTCAATCCCTAGCACTGAGAAACAACAACAACAACAACAAAAAAAATAAAAAACCAGAAACACACACACCTCACATATATGTAGATTTTTTTTCATATAAGTATGGTATAAAGAAATGTTGAACACTAGATATTTTCTGAAGGTTTTGATTCTTAGCAACAGAAATTTATTACATCATAATAAAACATACCAAAACTCATTTTCAACATGATTTAATAATATTTCTCAGTAAATTGTTTTAAATTTTTTCCCCAAATCTAGAATTTGTATGCCAATTCAAACTAGAACTTCTTATTTTATAGTTTTGTTTAATGTCAAAGATTAGATTTACCTTATTCTAAAACTTGTTTCTGTATTTCCATTTTGGAATTTTAACTTAGCTAAACAAAATGTAAATTTAATGATTGAAATTAATGTAAACATTTAATATAGACACAATATTCCTTTTAGTGCATTCCAAATTATGTGTTGACTGTCTATGAAGGGATAATATAGCAAAAATAAAGCAGGATCCTTTAATTTGAAATATCTCACAATAGGGCAGGTGAAGGGGAGCTGATTAGTGGTTAATGGATAATTATAGTGCAAGGCAGAAGGAAGTTCAGTAGCAGAGTATGTCTAAAACTTTATGAGGTCATGTGTTGAGGAAAAAAGGTATTTTTTGGGAAAAGTTTTTTTTTTTTTTTTTTTTTTTTTAAATGGAATATGACATTTGAGCTAAGTTTCAGCAAAAACAATTGAGTCTGCTTAGTGAACAGGAATGGGATAAAGGCTTCAAGCTAGACGGAGCTGTATGGATAAAAAAGGGAAAGACTGGCACATTGGGAAGGAGATAAATGAATTAAAAATATTATAGTATCTATTGGATGGGAGGAAAGTAATCCTTTGTGGTCCCAATTAGAAGTTCTTTTTTTTTTATCTTAAGATTAAATACCATTCATTAAATACAAGTCTACTGATTTGCATTTCTCTGGGTTCCTTTTGTTTTGGCATCTCAGTGAGTGGAGAAACAGTCTAAAAGACTCAAAGGGGAAATACTAAGGTCAAGGTCAGGAGAGATCCTCTTGGAATATTCAGTCCTAGAAAAATCTCTTCAGTTGTGTCTGTTATTGATATCTGAACATTCTGCCATTTGTAATGGAATTAATTTATTTGCTGTTAAAATAATAAAGCCTAGTGAAATTATAGTAACATACAAGGTTCATTTTACTGCGAAGTTTATATGTGTTAAAACAATATATTAAAGTTTATACATACGTAAAGGATTATCTACATACTGTAAAATTCATGGCTGGCAGAAAAACCGTGAGTCTGTAAAAAAAAATCAAAACCTATTTTTGTCTTGCTTTAAGATTTTATGACAAGAAAATGTTCGTCTTGAGCAAAACTTTCTATTCGTGTTCTTGGAAAAGAAAAGCAATGACAATTTAAACCATACAATTCACTATTTTTAAAGGATCCATATTCCAGGAATGTTAAAGACATAAAATTTCCAGGACAGTCTTTCACTGGCATTTGAATAGAATTTGGATTGTGGTTAGCAATGACTCTTCAAGAGGTATCAGCCATGACCTAGAAGGGAAGACAGTAGGTAATCTACAAAGTTCTAGCCTAAAAGGCAGATAGATACAGAGCAACATCAGCTGTGGACTCTTTTTGGCTTTAAGCTTTGTGATCCATGTCAGGCTTCCCCACACTACTTGGACCAAAGAGTCCTTACAAACCATGTTGGCTTCTATGACCTCAGTAGTCCATTTCAAAACAAATTGCATTGTCCATCTTGCTTAACTATTGGCCTCTCCAGCTAATGATGTCAGCTCTGCATGGTATAATAATCATGTGAATAACACTTAAGAGCTGATATAGTGTAACTCTTTGGGGTCACCATACTGAGGCTTATCTGGAGAAGTATAAAGCATGAAAAAATGGTCTTTTTATTTGTTTAGGAGAGTGCCTGAGGAAGAGTATCCCTCAAAAGCAAAGATTTCTTAAGTTTGGAGGGAAAAACAAAGGATAAGTTTGTGAGACAAAATGAAAGACAAACATGACATACATGTAGATGAGATGCAAGACCTAAGGCTTTGACAGAGGTTTGGATGAAGAGGAGCTGTTTCATTTTTCTACTGACCTTGGAAATATTAAAAAAGCAGAATCTCTTTCTTTGGTTAGTTTTTTTTTTTTTCAAAGAACCCTTTAGTTAATTGAAAAAAAAAAAAACCCCTTTTTTAAATTGGAGCTTTCTTTATGCAATCTTATGGAAATAATATGGAAATACCATTCAGTACTTAGATATAATTCTTGAATATCTTGGAGATTTTTTGATATGAAGTTAAAATCTCTACTTACAAATCCAATCTACACTATTAACACTGCCTTTTCTTAAGTTCTTATTTTATTTTATTTTACTAAGATAAACTGAGTGACAAATAAATCTGTTATCACACTCAAAGTCTAGCTCCTAAGTTCCCATTGAACTTATGGAAAATCAATTTTATTACTAAGAACCCTTCTGTTTTCTAAAAGGATAGAAGTTGCCTTCTATTGTTGTTTATTTCTAGCATGTGTAGGTAACATGTATACTATCTTACCTGAAAGGCTTAGGACCAGTAATGTTTCAAATTTCAATTTTTCCTTTTTTGGTTCTGGAATATTTACATATAAATAAGGAGATATCTTAAGAAAGGGACTGATGGGACCCAAGTGTAAACACAATTTCTTTGTTTCATATACCTTTTATATGAATCTTGGAAATAATTTTATATGACATTTTAAATAATATTGTGTGGTTCCATGTTGGTGCCCAAAAGTTTTGAATTTTAGGAGCATTTCCAATTTTGGATCATTGGATTAGTAATGCTTCACCTGTAAGCAGTAAGTGTTATATTACTTTGGAGGTGTGGTGAAAATGAATTTGGTGAGTGAGATCAAAGAATTGGTACTGAAAATGAAATAAAGAAATACATTTCACGCTGAGACTGATTCAACTGTAACTAATCCTGTAGTATGGCTTTAGGAACACTTTCCTCAATATAAATCCAACCCAAACTGCTAATGAGTGTACGTTCATGATAATTAAATTTGAAGCACCTTTTAGCAATGTGCACAATTACAAGAAAATGCTTCAGCAAAGATTCAAAGATTGAATCTTGGTAGATTTTGTTTCTTTTGATTCCTTCATCACATCATCTATGGCTTAGGTCAATACAGATATGTAGAAGTTCACAGTAGAAAGTATTTAAAGTCACTGTCATCCCACCATGCATTAATCTATTGTTGCTTTTGATTTGTTCAAGTGGCTGAGAAGACCAAAGAGCAAGTGACAAATGTTGGAGGGGCAGTGGTGACCGGTGTGACAGCAGTAGCCCAGAAGACGGTGGAGGGCGCAGGGAACATTGCAGCTGCCACTGGCTTTGTCAAAAAGGACCAGCTGGGCAAGGTATGGTTGCCTACATTTTATGCTATGTTTATAAGGTCCTGAAGTCATGGTTCATTTTCCTTAATAAGATGCTTCCTGTGAGGGATGGCTCCCTGACCCTCCCTTCATTAAAAAAAAAAATTACTATCTTTATATGGTTTTTGTTCTTTGCAGTAATAACCCAGAGAAATGCCTTATAAATTGTACAATAATCACCATTGTTTCAATTTCTGGAAGAAAGTTAATGAAACGAACAATGTAGTAAATGCCAAAAGGATCAGTGACATTTCATAAAGAATGGGTGCTTTCATGTTAACTATGAATCTTAAAATTTCTCTTTGTTGGAATAACAAATCTCTTTGTTCCTGAGCTCTCAGTTTCTAAAATGAAGATCTTTTAGTTGATTACTGTACAATGACATCATCTCCTATTAAATACCATATTTGCATATCAAATAACAGCTTTTTACAAATATATGTTGGTCTGAACAGAGAAATTTAAAATGCATACCAAACAGATCATGGTTCTGGAGTGATTCATAAATTTTCAGAAGAATTTTAACTTTGCATACCTTGATAAATTCAGGACTCCAGTAAGATTATAAAATAGGTCTTATGTCTTTCTTCTTAAATACAGAAATAATAGAGTATGAAATGTGAACCAAAGATGAAATTTTACGTATTTCATGATCACAACATCAGGATGATTTTTGCTTTTCCCCTGGTACAGTGGCTTCCTTGCTATTCCTTGAACAAATCAAGCATATCCTGGCTCTGTTTCCTTCTCTGCCTAGAAAGCTCTTCCCCAAGATTGCATACTTGGCTCACTCCCTTATCTCCTCAGGACTTTTTGAAATGACACCTTCTTGGTGAAGTCTGCGTTGACCTATTTAAAATTGGAAACCTCTCCTGTGATGTTCTCCATCTTTCTACTCTGTCTGATCACCCCCCCTTTTTTTGCCCAAGTGTTTATTGTCTTTTAAAATAATAATTTACTTATTTTTACATATGTTGTTTATTTCATTTCTCCTCTTGCACAAAGTAAGGATTATGAGAGTGGAATGTGTTTATTTTGTTCACTGATATTTGACAGGGGTCCAGGAGAATTTCCAGCCATGTGAGATAATTAATGAATTTTATTAAATTAAGGATAGATGAAAGAAGAAAATATGTGAATAAGCAGAGTGACTTTCTGAATCTTTTGTAATCGTGCATTCTATAAGAACATCAGTTATTCAGCCATCCATTCAAAGGTTATAATCAAAGTGGTTTGGGGATGGATGTTTTGATAACTGTGAGAAAGAAGCTTTGTGTGGATAGACTGTTTTTTTTTTTTTTTGTGTGTGTGTGTGTGTGTCTGTCTGTGTGTGTGTGTGTGTGTGTGCGAGTATATAACTGATCCTCGTATAATCCTAAGTAGCAGGACTACCTTGGTGGCCCATTAAAATATTGATAATAAAGAGGATGGACTAGAAATTGATGATATATTTAGATTTTCCATATGTAGTTACATTGTCTGGGCAACTATTGGTAATCATGGAAAATCTGGACTGGGCTTCTAGAGAATTCCTTCAGCTAACATTTAAATGTATGCTTCACCATAGCCATGCAGCTGTGTACAGAATTTTTTTTCCAATAACCTTATTCGTGCTAATAGTTATACTGATTCCTATTTCCCATTTGAAATTATGTTCATAGCTTTATTATATTCAGAAGTTACGAGGGACTTCAGATACTGATACAGAAGCAATTAACTTGCTTTTTGATCCAGTTTCTTTTGACAATCTAATAAAAGCTATAGAACCTCTTCTCAGAAAAATGCATGCTCACATATAAACACAGGAGGGCCTAAGGAGACATCCATTGACAGACATGATTTAGCACAATCTCCTGATTGTACAGATGAGAAAACTGAAATTCACAGAGGAGACTTAAGTATTCAAGGTCGCACAACCAGGCGGGGTGGACTGAGCGCCCAGAATGTTGATCCATCTACTTTAACACTCTCCCCCACAAATCCCTCAATAGTGAACCTCCTCTGTGTCTTTATAAACTGAAATGTGGACAACCAGATTTAACTGGAGAATTTCATTGCTTCAGAATATGAAGAAATCAGGCAAACATACACCCTCTACTTTTTGACTTTATTTAAAATATATAATGCAAATTACAAATGAGGTGTGAAAGTGCTTTATCATTTTTAAAATTGCTTTTTTTCACCTTTTAAAAACACTGCTAGTTATTTTAATAGTTTAAAGCAGAAATCTAAATGATATAAGAAAACCATTTGGAGATATTTCTCTAATGGGTACTACAGGTTCTAACAAGTTTCTAAAATGAAACGAAGTCATAAGACCTAGAAATTGTAGCATGGCTATGGGAAAAAATACATCGGACTGGGAACTAAAATGGCTGATCTTTGTGTCCTGCTTGGTCATTAATTGACTGGATGACCTTTTTCAGATCCCTTAAAACCCTTTCTCATTTACTAGCGAATTCTACTAGAAAATTGTTAAAGCCAAATTTAGCAATAATATGCTGAGTTTCTATAATAATTCAAGGAATATTCTAATAAACACCCATAATTGTGCCAAAAATTCTAAAGAGTATAAATGAAATTATTGAGCTATTCAATAAGAAATTTGAAATAACTTAATTTTATATTTTACACTCTAATTAGAGTGATCCATGCGAATAGAAATAACTCTCTTTTTCTCACTTCCTTCTTTTCTTTTCTCCTCTCCTCTCCTCATCTCCTTGCCTTTTCTCCATCTTTCCGTTGTGGTTTGGGTATGAGGGGTCCCCCAAAGGCTCCTGGGTTAAATCAGGGATGTTCACAGGTGAAAGGATCAGATTATGAGAGCTATAACCTTATCAGTCCTTCCTGAGGTGAATGGACCAACTGGGTGGTAATTATAGGCAGGTAGGGTGTGGCTATAGGAAGTAGGTCACTAGGATAATTCCTTTGGGGTTTATGTTTGTCCCTGGCACCTTGATCTCTCTCCCTCTGCTTTCTGGCTCCCATGAGCTAAATATCTTTTCTCTACCATGCCCTTCTGCATCACCTTGGGCCCAGAGTGATGGAGTTGGCCAACTCTGAAATGAACCTCTGACAGTGTGAGCTTTTCCTATTCTAAATCATTCTGGTGTGGTATTTTGGTCAGAGAAATGAAAAGCTTACAACCTCTCTTCCTCCCTTCCTCCTTTCCTTTCTTCTTTTCGTTTTTTTTTTTTCATCTTCAAATACTTGTTATTCTAGAAATAATGATGGTTTGCTATATGCTAGAAATTTGAAGAAATATGAATGTGACAATGAGGACTATTAGATATCTGGATTGCAGGAGGAGATGAATGGCTGTGCCATTCTCTTGGCTATTGGTATTTCTCTTTAGGGTCAGGAATGCTGCAAAGTAGGTGATGGCATTGGTTTCCCCCTTTATGCTCTTGAAGGGTATCTGGCTTATAACTGGATGTTCGGTAAGCAAACTGTCTCCCTCTCTCCCTCCTTCCCTTTTTTTCTGTTTTATTTGAAACTAAGATGGTTAGTAGCTCATTTTTATTTTCCTCTTTTTATTTGGTGCATTTATTTCTTTGAGAAATGCTTGCTTTGATGTATTCTACCTACTTTTGATGTTAACAGAAAGATATAACCACAGCTACTTAAAGTGGTTTCTCTCCAGCTTTATTAAGGTATGATTGGTAAATAAAAATTATATGTTTATGGAATATAATATGATAGGTATTTTTTTTGCTCCTTTTGTTCTGTTTTTGTTTGTGGAATTGGGGATTAAACCTAGGGTTCTTCCACTGAGCTGCATTCTGACTCCTGAGTTTGATGTATGTGTACATCCTGAATGATTCCAGGGTCAACATTATTAACATATACATTATCTCACACAACTATCACTTTCTTTTTTGTGGTGACATTTAAAACCTACCGACTTAGTACATTTCAAGTACATAATATAGTAGTATTAAATACAGTACCTCCTGCTATACATTAGATCTCAGAACTTATTTTTATTCTATTTATTTATTTTTGATTCATTCTATCTAATTGAAATTGTATACCTTTGACCCCATTCTTTTCCATCCACCAGTCCCTGGCAACCACTGTTCTATTCTGTTTCTTTGGGTTTGACTTTTTTTAGCTTTCACATAGAAGAGAGATCATGCATCATTGGTCATTCTGTGCCTAGCTTAGTTTACTTTGCATAAAGTCCTCAAATTTATCCACATTGTGGCAAATGGAATCGTTTCTTTCTTCTTTTTTTTTTTTTTTGAACACTGAATCATATTACATTGTGTGTGTACACACCACAGTTTCTTTATCCATTCGTCTGTGGATTGACCCTTGGGTTTGTTGTATACCTTGACTATAGAAAATAATACCACAGTTCATGTGGGAGTGCAGATAGATTTTCAAGATCTATGTACCTAGAACTATGATTACTGCATGATGTGATAGTTCTGTTTTTAATTTTCTTAGGATCTTCCATACTCTTTTCCATAATGGCTGTACCTTTCTACATTTTCAACAACAGTTTAAAAGGGTTTCCTTTTCTCCACATTCTTGCCATCCTTTTTTCTGTTTTATAAAAGTATTCTAAAAGGTATGAAGTGATAAATCATTTGAATTGCATTTCCCAGATGATTAGTGATGTTAAGCATATTTTCATATGCCTACTGGCCATCTTTATTTCTTCTTTTGAGAAATGTCTATTCAGATTATTTGCTCATTTTATAAATCAGGTTATTTATTTTCTTGCTACTGAGTTGCTTGAGTTCCTTCTATATTTCAATTTCCTTCTGTATTAATCCTATCTGATATATGGTTTACAAACATTTTCTCCTATTGCGTGGGTTGTGTCTTCATTCTGGTGATCATTTTCTTTGCTGTGCAGAAGCTTTTATGATTGATACTATTCTATTTACTTAGTTTTGCTTTGTTGTCTGTGTTTTGGGGGTCATAACTCCCCAAATTATTGCCCAAATCAATTTTGGAAAATTCTGCTTTATTTT